ACATTACTGCTTGTATATCTGTCAAGCTGTTATATATTTTAGAGTATATTATCTGACTGTAGAGTTTTAGAGGGCCTTCTTGCTAACTAACTACCTATATTTAGTTTCTTATTAACAGAACTCATCTTTGCAGAGTTTATTTAGACCCTAGTACCAACTTCATAGCATATCTCTAGTACTTATAGTATATCTCTATTTCTAACCTCAAATTCCTAATTCAGATAGCCTAGTAGAACTATAACCTGTTCTTAGTACTTTAAGGTCTACTTCCAAGGTTTTTTTTTCTTTAGTTTGAGACTTTCAATAGCCTAGTTGATAGTACTCCTTACCTGAGATTTTTGCCTATCTGATTTCTTCTATATTGGTATCTATTTCCTAGTTCTAGTCTTTACAATAATATTGTTGAAGATCTATGTTACTTCTCTACTTGGGTCTTCCCAAGTGGACTCTGGTTTTCCAGTTTACAGATTTACTAGCTATAAGGACTTATCTTGGATTTGCACTACCCAATACTAGTTTGCATTTCTTTATATAACTCCAACATTGTGCAAATGCTCTATAACCTGTCAGTTATCTTATATGATCATGTTACAGGTACTAATTCCAACTAATCAATGGAGTGCTATTGCTGTAATACTGCTTACTTTCTGTAATACTAATATAACATAGAGATTTCCAAATTTTCACTATTAGTGAGTTTTGAATTCTCAATCTATCACTTTGAAGGTTGACAACTTAACTACTTCACTAAGTCACTACATCCTATTTTTAATATTGTCAAATATTGCTTTTAATAATACAGAACTGATTATTTTTGAAATCCTAATAGATAAATTTTTATCTAATAAAAATATATAATTAAGAGAACTATAATAATTATTACAAAGAATTGTAAATAAAAAAAAATATTAAAAATCTAAAACATTTACAACATTTCAACAGTATTTTCTATTTTTTGTTCTAATACTTTTTTAATAAATATATTATGATACTCCAATAGCAAATTTGAAATATCAATTATACTAATGATCTACTATATAAATACAAAAAAATTAAATATCAAAAATTTTAATATATAATTAAAATTAAGAGTTTAAACATTATCTTATTTCTATTTTCATTCAATTTTATCTTTTTTATATCAGGTTAACAAATTATTCATATTGAAATTTAGAGTTTTCTTTTTGTTTAAATTCAATACTATTATCTAATTTACTTAATTTAGAATAATAAAATAAACTTATAATCTAATAAAACTCTTTTCAATGATTATTTGAACTAAATTTTTTAAAAACTAAATTACAGAAAAATAATATAATTAATATATTAAACTTTATAAAAATTTTTTCAAAGTATAGTATATGTATAATTGAACATTAAAATAGAGTTGAAAAAGAAGTTGCAGTTTTGTGATAATGCTTTGTGACTATAGAAAAAGTAGTTAATAAAAGCCAAAGTTTTTTTATTAAGCAAACAACAAAGCTAAATATATTAGTTCTATACAACTGTAAAACTTATAAGAAATATCTATAAATGTTAAGAACTCACAAAAGCTACAAAATTAGTTCATCTCTTATCTTTACTTTGCTTTAAGAAAAATTTTGTAAAAAATAGATGATTTAGCTTAGTTTCTTCTAAAAATCAATATATAAAACTATCAAAACAGTTAGCAGTATTTACTTTCTAAATAAGTTTGTTGATAATATAGATTGAAAATAATACAATAATACAAATACAACTATACATATACCTTGAAATACTAAAAACCTGAAAATACTAGACTAACTAGTGCTCTATACTAACTCTCTATAATCAAGTTGAAGATATTTTCTTTCCTACATAGTTTTTTATTAATAATTTAAGTAAATAGGAAAATAGTAGAGTTATTTCTATTTAGTATAGTTTATAATTTTTAAAAGCCCAATACAGACATATAATTGTAACTATCTAATATTTGTGAATTGCAAATTTCATATTTTCTTTTTTCTTATTTATTTATTTTTTCCTTTTATTTCTTGATTTGTATCTTTTATTATTTATCTCTATATCTCTGTTTTGCTTTTTTATATAAAATTTTTTTTTATTTTTTGCTTCTTTATAAAAAAATATCATCAGATTAGCAATGTTCTATTGTAGAGTAACAGTCAAACAAGCAGTCTATCTCTAATTAGAATATGTTACAGGTCATACTTAGGTATCATTTAGGTAACTGAATAATGCTAGACTTATATATTAAGAAAATTCTATATAATTTATATAGTTTTAAGAATTCTAATAAAGTACTAAATGATTGCTTAAGTTAAAAAAAAATAAAAAAATAAAATGAACTAGATCCATTAGGTATATTATCTTCACTTAATACATTATTATTTTCATCTAATGCATTATCATCTTTAGCTAATATAATAAATAAATTGTTTAGACTATCTTTTGTTATTCCTATAAATAATTCTTAATTATTAACTTTTTTTTGATATTAAGGTGAGATTATTAATATTTTTATACATCTTGTTAACATTACTTTTATTAAATTTTAATTTTTTTGATAAAAGTTCATCATCATAATCATTGTCTTTATTATCAGCAAGTTTCTTACTTTTGATACAATGATTTTTTAAAATAAAAGTATTATATTCTCTAGTATTATTTTTTATTATGCCAATAATTTATAGTTAAATCATTTTTAGCAATATTTTAAATATTTCAAATTATACTTATTTGTTGAATAACTTACTGTCTTCATTGTAAAGATAAAGTCTTGTTAAATATGCAAATTTGTATTATAAGCTTCTCAATAGACTAAAATCTAAAACATAAATTTAAATATTAAAAAGTTACAAATCTATAAATTTAGAAATGACTAATAATTAAACATATCACTTTCTTTTTCTTTAAACAAATTTCTTAATTACACTAAATAGTTTCTTCTTATTTAAAAAAAATATATGATGATAAGTCAATAGAAATTAAGCAAATTATTTTTATTGAAATTATTATTTTTTTTATTATTAAACTAGTCTTTTGAAGACTAGAACTTTTATTCAGTATAATAGAATATAATAACTCGCAATTTAATTACCTCAGAGGAGCTACTTTACATTAAAGAGTACATTTAGTTATACATACACTTTTGGTGTTTAATTTAAGTAGTCTGTCTATATATAGGTTCTATACTAACTGTTATACTTACAACCCAACTATAAAAATTGTCTATTTAAATCCTTTGTACTATAATCCTTACTGTATTACTAGAATATCTCTATTACACAATGTTAGTTGAGAAGTTCTAGATATATACCCATATCCTTAAGACCCCTGCCTTATTTTATGCAGATTATTTTCAAAACATCATTACTAGAGCTTTCTGTATTCCAATTTATAACTAAACTTAGTTTACAACTCTTGTGAAGTTTATATAACTTCAGTATCTTTCTTTTATATTCTCACCAATATCTTGTCTATTCTTGTAAATTCTCTTATACTACCAATCCAGTTAGTCTTGTATAATGTGACTTTATGCTCAGATCAACTGATAATCAGGTTGGTAAACCTCTTACCTAAAGGTTCTTGTCTGTACAGATTACCTGCTTCAGGTTTTCTTCTTTAAATCATGATCTTCATAAGTGATACTATCAAAAGTTGTACTACCTTTTCATTCAGAATTTTCAAGTAGGCTTCTAATCTAAATATATACTTTCCAGATTTATTTGTGTAACATTGTACACTTCCAAAATTAGTTTTGGTATAATTAGAATTACAAGATCTACAAACTTCAAATCACAGATAAGTTTGCCAAAATAGGACCATTTTTTCAAAATCTGTCACCAATGAAAATTGAACATTAGACTTCTGCTTGAAGAATAACAACCCAACTACTATACTAAGATCACCATCTTATTGAAATTTTTTTAAAACTTTAAACAACAATAATTTAATAAAAACTTAATCAAATTTAATATAATTTTTTTAAAATAAATTTTACAAATATGTACCATTTATTTCAAAAAATTTTTATTAAATTTAATAAAGTTTTAGTTAAGTTATTATTGTTTAAAGTTTTAAAAAATTTATTTGGAAAAAATTTGCTTGATTTCTATTAACTCAACTCCATATATTAAAAATATTTTATATTTGATATCAAAAATTGTCAAATATATACATCATTATTTATGATTCTCAATTTATCAAGAATTGTGCTCTTACTATGACTTAAAACAAAACTAAAACATTTTTTGTGTTTATTGCTCAATATCATGCCATTGGGTGAGTTAAACAAAAAAAACAATTGGTGTTAGATTGGAAGAATTTATAATCCAATCTATCTTTACGTTTTGCTGATTCTAATTAACTTCTTTCCTTTTTACTTGTCCTATTACCTTGTAAAATGTGAAAAAAAATTGTGAGAAACATCCTAAACAAAAGGAACTACTAAAGCGAGCTATCCCTCAATCAAGGCCGGCCTCCGATTGATGGAGACTTGCCATAACTGGCTTCCAATAGGCCTCAACCCTACCGCGGACACCTTTTCATGATGTCAAGCTCATGATAGTTCTGAAGCAACGAAATCCGCCGGCCACCACTTGATGGCGACTCGCCATAACTGGCTTCCGATAGGCCTCAACCCTACCGCGGACGCTTCCTTCGTGCTAAGCAGAACTATCAATATAAGTAACGAGGAGATAAAAGAATTTGATAAACTTACACGATACTAGACAATAAGCAACGTTAAAAAAAAAAAAAAAGAGTTTCGCGAGTCAGTCGCTTGACAAACGGGTATGTTATATTTGGCGAGTGTATACGTATGCACTTGTGCACTAATTTATTGTTACATGTTTTTTGTAAAATTATAAAATGCCAACGATTGGACGATCTGTTATCAGTTATTTAGTTGTCCAATCAGATTCCGTAATCAACTATAAAAGTTTGCAAAATTTTTTTCGATAAAAAAGAATTTAGTGTCAGTACTAACGATAAATTACACATTTTCTGTATTTTTCAAAATGACCGACACACTTTCTCTTCGTGGGACACTCGTTGGTATATACATTGGATTTACGGTGCACAATATAAGCATTTTAATTAAACTATTTTTCCACAGGTCATTCAAACTGGGTGACGGCTATTGGTAAGAAAGCAAATTTTTCAAAAAAATCTATTTATATATATGAATTCTAATCAATTAACAAAAATTTTGACAGCTACAACCTCGGAGAATTCTGATATGATTTTATCGGCTTCACGTGGTATGTTATATTTCGAGAATTTGTTGCATGCAAAGGGAGAATGATTTTATCGCAGCGAAATACCAAATTTATTGATCCATCGAACTTTCATCGAATTTGATTGCTGATATTTTAAAATATCTCGTTGGCATTTTAAATCATTAATTACTGAATGGTCATTTATCATCCAATAGATCATAATCTTATTAATAATCATTATTTGCTGAATAGACAACAAAAAGACCAGTCTCGACTACAATCTTATTAACAATCATTATTTACAGATAGAACCATTATTGTTTGGCAATTAACCCACGAGGAAGCAACCTATGGTGTACCACGTAAAGCTCTCACCGGTCATAACCACTTTGTACAAGATGTAGTCATTTCTTCCGATGGTCAATTTGCACTTTCCGCTTCATGGGATAAAACTCTTCGCCTTTGGGATCTGAATACCGGAACAACTACCCGTAGATTTGTTGGTCATGATAAAGATGTTCTTTCCGTGTCCTTTTCACCAGACAACCGTCAAATCGTCTCAGGTTCAAGAGACAAGACCATCAAATTGTGGAATACTCTAGGTGAATGTAAATTTAACATTCAAGAAGAAGGTCATACTGAATGGGTCTCTTGCGTGAGATTTTCACCCAATCCATCCAACCCTGTGATTGTGTCATGTGGTTGGGATAAACTTGTTAAGGTAATTAAATATTTACCATTAATAATATAGAATTTTGTGCGATTATGATGTTATCATTGTTAATATTTGCTACTTCAGAGAAGGAATCCTTTAATGAGACGAAAACCAAATCTGAGTTGCACATATTACCTTTTAATATGTTAAATTTTTTATGATCTATGATTTATTATGAAATTCTATTTATTTAAATCATATATCATTTAGGTCAGTGTTCAATTATAACGAGTAAGAATTTCAAATCAGGATCATAGTCTCGAAATAGTGTTGAATGAAATATTCGATATTTATATTTATATTTTGTCATTTACAATTTCATATGTGACATTTTCTTTTTTTTTTGGTTGTAACAATGCAAATTCTCTATTTCAGGTTTGGGAGCTCACTAAATGCAAGCTCAGAACCAATCACATCGGTCATACTGGATATATCAATACCGTTACTATTTCTCCTGATGGTTCACTTTGTGCTTCCGGTGGAAAAGATGGAATTACTATGTTATGGGATCTTAATGAAGGAAAACATTTATATTCATTGGAAGCCGGAGATATTATTAACGCACTAGTATTCAGCCCTAATCGATATTGGTTGTGTGCTGCTACTGCATCTTTCATCAAGATTTGGGATCTTGAAACAAAAACTGTTGTTGATGATCTTAAACCAAATTTCACAGAAACTGGAAGATATTCAAAAGATCCTGAGTGTATTTCTCTTGCTTGGTCACCAGATGGTACGACATTATTTGCTGGCTATACAGGTAAATGTATTATTTACACTTTTTTCGTGTCTTTTTATATAATTACACCTATATAATTTTTTATATATTTTTTTTGGTTGATGCTAGATAATAAAATCCGTGTCTGGCAAGTTACCAGAAGTTAGTTATTGGTGAAAATGACAATATTTATTTATATTTTTTTTCAAATATTATGTGTAGTTTTTCAAATGACAAAATTATACTGTGGTTTATCATGATTTCAAATAAAAGAAAATAAATGTAGATCATTAAATGCATTTGTATTGTATTATTGGTATACGTACGTATGTACATACTTTCTAATATTAATTGCAATAGTAGTAGATTTTTGCAACTTCATCTTTTACCATACTTACAAATTTCGATGATGAGATATTCATGTATAAAAAAAGATGATGACAATTGCGACGTATTTATATGTCTGTCGTGTAACGTATTAAGCCTTTGTAGATAATCATGATCGCTTGTTTATGTTGACGTAAATGACACTCTTACGTATTTACCAAGAAATTATTACTTAAAGAGTTGAAATAATGTCTTCTCAAGGTAATAAAATTGCATATTCTTCTTTCTTTCATCGTAAGCAGTTCCAATGGATCAAGTCCTTTCGTTTAATACTTGTTATGTTATAAATAAAGAAAAAAATAAACTTACTTATAGTGTATACACGATCTGGGATTGGACCGAGGAGCAACTTAAAGAATTACAAATTTTGTGGAGGTATATTACCTTTTCCTAACTCATAAATATAACCAGCTTGTTTGATACTTGATTTAAAATCTTGTTTTATTATAGGCCATGTGAAGAAAAATACGATTCGACAATAAAATATATTCCAGAAAGACAGGTATATAATTTTAAAAGTAGATTTGACCATACCTTGATTTACGAATTTGCCAATTTATTTTAATCACTTGAAACTTTTTTTTATCAGTGCTTTGAATTTAAGCAAAATACTCATGAAATTTTAGATGAATTGTAAATGTTTACTTAGTTTTATGGTACAATGCTGCAATATTAAGCACTAAATATCTTAATGTTATCTTGCAGACGTAATGCACTTGTGGACATTTTACAAAAAAAGGTTTGAAGTTTGTTATTAAAAATAACCATTGGGTGCTTCCAAGCTGCTTCTGGTTAAATCAATGACCTCCTGACTGAAGATCATTATCAGTAATTTATATTAAAATTAATATACAGCTTGAAAACGCTCATTACGTGTAATTTTTTTCGTCATTTGTTTTTAGTAGCAATGATTATTTTATTTTGGTAGTCTGTCGATGCCAAGCCCATCAGTATGGTGGTCCCTTACCGTCCTAAGAGACGTTCTAAAAGTCCTGTTGATAGTGAGCTTGTTGGTTTACCTCCTAAAAATTTAGAGAGTGTTGATCCGAGCACTCCATCCGTCCTCGATAAAATAGAAGATACAGATGGTCTTGAAGATACTTTCTATATTTCAGACAATGTTCGCGATGTTTCTGATATGTTGGGACGGAATCAACAATTTAGTCAACCTTGTGATTATTTGAAGGAGATATGTAAGGATTGCGATGTAAATGGAAATTTAAACATGGAGAATAGGGTGATTCAAATTTGTTCATTAATTATTCATTATTGACTATTTATTTACTGTAGCTTTGTTCTAATTGACTACACCTTTACTATATAGACTATTCATATCATTGGCGGGAAGAGACAAGACGTTAATGAAGCTATCGAAAGATTGAAAGAATTGGAAAGGGTTTATGTATGGCATTAATTATTTATCTTTTTTTTCTTTAAAACACTAATACCAGGCTAATCATGTCTGATTATAGCTTCGACCTTCTTTCAAACATCAAGAAATACCTTTAGTACATTATCCAAACCAAAGTGTACACTTCAAGTTATACTTTTTCCCCGTCAAGTCCCATCCATGGTTTAAGTTTATTTTTAATTCGAAAGATTTGAAAGACGCGTTTATAATCATTCCTGCTATTAAAAATCCTATTACTCAAAAATGGACGCTACCAAAATACGTTGAATCTGAGAAAAATAAATCTACGACCATGGCGAATAATAATGCAAAAAGTAATACACCACCTCGTGGTCCTCCCGTCACGAAAAATCCACAAACCGAGCCAAAATATGATTGGCCTGAAGTCCAACAAGTTCCTGCCGAGGTTCCATGGAATAATTATGGTGCATTACATACATCTTCTAATAAAGATTTTCCGGCCCTTTCTCCTTCGGTCGCAGGGTCGAAATCTGCGGCATCTATAGCTTCTACTCCTTCTTTATCACCCACAAGAAGGGAATCTTTGGCTAATACTGAAAAACATATATCTAATTCTAATTCTAGTCCATTCGATGAACCAAAGCAGCGTCTTACTGAAGAAGAAAAACTGGCTCGTAAGGAAGCCACGAAACAGAGAATAATTGATAGGCGAAAACAACGTGCTCAAACTTACGGTGCATCTACTGATAATGGCTCACCAATTTCAGATGCTTTTCCATCTATGTCAAATTCTTCAAATTGGTCTACGCAAGATAAGAGTGCCACTGTAATGGATGGAAAGACTTGGAGTGATAAAGTTGTTGGAAAAAAAGTTGATGAAAAAGGCGGTATTAATGTCGTTATGAGAAATGTTGTTCTTGAACAAAATCCGAATAATAGCAATGCTTCTCTCAATGGAACTAACATGTCTAATACATTTGGCAAGATGTATGATTCTTAAATATTAATTACTGCATTTGAATATCATTTATAAATCATTTTCCATTCTAATTTTTATGCAATTAAATAGACTCAGAGATTATAATCACATTCAAATTAGTCGAGTGCTAAGTGAGGGGTACCGAAATTTTAACATGATTCACTTTTAAAATGTTGTCGAATTTTATGTATAGTGACCTCTTGCAATGTTAGGCTCGAATATGTACGTTCACAAAAAGAGGAGGTTCGATTATTTGGAAGGTATATAGGAACCTTGCATTACAAATATATATAATGTACAGTAATACCATTTACAATATTTGTCGCGAACTTTCTTTAATACATTGTGTGATTAGTTTAGGAAAGGTATTATTTACAAAGGTGCCTCCAAACGTTTCAAACAGATTATGGGATTTTACGGATTTGAAAGATGTAATTATTGGAGAACATGGAGTATGTCCAATGTATAGAAATCAGTAAGTGTTTAATAATTAAATTTTTTATTTGATTAGAATCTTCATTTATTTCTTTTTATAATTTAATAGTGCTACGACAAATGAGAATTTGTATCAAAGCTTCGTAGAAGTTCTTGGCACAAAGACATGTGGTAGAGCCTCGTTTTTTGAGATTAATGCAAATGCAAGGAATTCGCCATACGCTGGATATACTCCTGTCTCTATGTATGTCAATTGTGATTTTGTATCTTTAGACAAAGTCAAATTAGATTGGAATCACCTTGTTGATATCGATTGGACGGTTCTGGACCGGTATGTTTTGCCACCATACAATTAAGTTTGGTAAAGTTAATGATTTGGATATTCAATAATGAGAATATTATAAGGATATTTTAAAATTTTTTCTAATGCTTTATGATTTAATGTCTATAACTTAGTAACTACGACTTTGGAATAAGCTTGCAGTCGAGACGAGTTCTTCGTTCTGACGTCAAACCATTTACTACTTTCATGAAAAAGGTTTCAGTCAGTCCGACGAACAATATGATAACTTACGAGAATGTCGTTGATTTTCTTCATGTAAAGGCCATCAATTATAAACAAGTTTCACGATATATGTTACACGAACCTTTCATCGCGGAGTTGACCCGTACTGAACAAGTACCTCTTAGTGAGCAAACAACTCACAAAGTTCTTGGAAAGACAGGTCATGGTCCCTATTGGTATACTATAGAGGTAAGTGGTATATTTGTGTTTTTTTGCACATACATTAAGGTAATTTCACAAAGTAATTATTATTGTTATTGCTATTTGAGGTCATTAACGATAAGCACGATAAATATCTCAAGAGTAACGAGACTCTTGGTCCTGGACAAATTTCCAAGTGGACTGTCGATGATATTATTGGAGATGAACCAAAAATGATTTACCTTGTCGAATACGTAAAAACTATGCTTTTATTAATTGAACGTTGTAATAAACACGTGGAAGCTCATAAGAAAAGGGATGGTATGAAAAGAGTCCAAGAGGAGTGATGGTAGTAGATTAAAAACTTATAAATAAGCTTAGTAGAGTCGACAATTTGATGCGGCTAAACCGGCTGAGTCTATTTTGTGCTGTTTGATGTACAAGGTTTTTTTTGCCAATTTCAAGGTTCAAGAATGTTCAAACATGTTTATAATGTTTAAAAAATTTATAAAAACAATTTTATGTAAATTTAGATAACCATTTTTACTCAATAAATTAAAGTTGGCATAAAAAAGTTTACTTAATATTTATTTAATGCAACACTTGGTTTAAACCTATTTTTTATTTTTATAATTTAAAAATTTTATAAATTTTTTATATTATACATTATATTCGGTGTTGTTAATTTTTTGCTTTATTGATAAAAATTATATTTTATTTTAATTTTTATTGTTCTATTTTATTGTTTTATTGTTTTATTTTTTTTTTTGATATTAAGATGATTTTTTTGATCTTTTGACTTTTATTAATAATTTTTTTAATAATGTAATTCTATAAACCATTATAGGAAAAATGTACAATTACAGTGGCCTACCATATAAGTGTGGACACTTTTTAAAAATTTATATTAAGCTAAATAAGCAAGATATCAAGTTCAAAATTATATAAAAAATTGCCTAAATCTAAGGCTTTTAAATAAAAAAAAA